AGCCCTCAAATTTGGTGGTCATCAATACCAAAACCCACAATAGGGCTTGATTGCACTTACACTAATTCCTTCGCAGATTTATAGTATAGATTTGCTCATATGTAAAGTTGGTTTTTTTCGCATAATACGAACTTTGAAAAGATCATGAAATTGACTAAACTTTTAGGAGAAGATGTTTTCTTGCCACTGAGTGCATTTCGTGTCTTAAACCTCATCAGATTATCTGATCCATCACGGTGTAGTTGTAATCAGCATCGATGGGATATCACTCAAGTAAAAAAAGAGAGGTGCTCAAAATAACATTGAAAAGGCAGTAGAGATTTCAATTTTTTTTTCTTTTTACCTGATGCATCGTAAAATAGACAATTCACAGTAATGGTTCCAACCACTGGTCCCTGCAAGTGTAAAAGGTTAAAAAGATTAATCTAACAAACTACTAAAACAAGTTAGCAAAAACCACTGGTTCCAGTATTGTTTTTGATCCCCCTTAGTTCACCTTCTTTTTGTTATATAAGAGGCAGTCCTCCTATGTCGTTCATTTTTTAAGAAAAAAACAACAAGCTGCCAAAATCGCTCCAGAATGCATGCTGATACCTTTCCACCAATGAGAAATTAACAAACTAATTTGGTTGGTGACTCTAGAATCAGATAAATTGAGTCGCGTGGAATAGAAATAATTGAATAATAACAGATATGACAAGAAGCTTACATTGTGATATCAGGCAGCAACGATTTTCTTCTTTTGATGGAACATGGAGCATGAAGGATAGCGGCTTGAACCAAACCATGTACTCGTGGTCGTTAGATAGTTTCAAAAGATATCCAGCTTCACAACATGAGGACGTGCGTGACAGGTGTGCTGCTGGTATATAATGGGCCAATTTGGTACAGTTTATAAGCTGCTTATGGCTAAAATAAGCTGAAATCAACAGTCAAACGCTACGCTTTTCAGCAGCTTATTCTGGCCACGTTTATTCTCACAACTCTTATTTGTACTACAAAGCAGAAGCTGGATCAGACCAGCTTATTTTACCGTCACTTTTACTCTATTTATGCACCTTATTTGAGAAGCGCTTCTCAAATAAGCTATACCAAACAGGACCAATATTACTTATAATATAGTAAAGCAATGCAAGGCGGAAGGGAGGGAGGACGTGACCGTGTACATGGAGAATGGTCACAGCAAGATGTCGTTGATGGCCTGCCTGCGGCGCTATGTTCATGTAGCGAATGGTCACGGGCTCACGGCTCGCGCAGCAGCCTACCGTGCACGCATTCTGCGCTGCTAATCCATTGCGCCGCCTTGCCAATTGCCATAGCCCGGCCGGAGCACTGGAGCAGGGCGCGAGGCCAACCAGCAGTGGTGCTAGGCCCAACGTGGTCGTGCTGTGCCAACGCTTGGCGCGGAGGAGGCTGAGGCATCATTGATCGTGGAGAGAACAACGTCGACGAAGAACCCACCATTGGTTGCTTCAAGAGAGATGGATCGCAAGTTATTGCTGTGGGGGCGATGGGGAATCGAGAGCCGGCGTCGGGTGGTTAGGCTGACGCTGATCTCGCGTGGATTGCAGGCGTGGCGGGTACAGGCCGGGGGTGTGTAAAGAAAACGCCGGTGAAAAAAGATCCACTCGGAGTCGTCCGCAAGAGAGGCTGCGGAGAGGTGGGCGCCGACGCGTCGTCGCTCCTCGCTTCTGCAGCAGCGGCGGGGCCAAACGGGACTACGAAGTGGAGGAGGAGGCGGCGCGTCCTCGCTGGCCGGACCCGTGGCGGCTGCGGCGAACGGAAGGGCGAGGGAGCAGGCGAGCAGGAGGAGAGGCGGGCGACGGCGCGTACGTGCAGCAAGGACTTCGCCGAGGTTTGCTTCAAAGAATTCGGTGACCTCGTCAAGTCCTGGACCACGGTCAACGAGCCGTGGACGTACTCGTCGCAGGGCTACGCCGTCGGCAAGTTCGCGCCGGGCTGGTCCTCGTCGTACGTCTCCAAGAACTGCTTCCCCGGCGACTCCGCCCGCCAGCCCTACATCGTGACGCACAACATCATCCTCGCCCACGCGGAGGCCGTGGCGCTGTACGGCGCGTCATCGCTCCTGGCCTCCGCAGCGGCGGCGGGGCGGGACGGGAGGGCGATGGAGCGGCGGTTGGGTGCGACGGGAGGCGCGTCCTCTCTCCTTGCGTCCGACTTTCAAAGGCGAGGGTGAGGAGTTAGGACGTTCAGAAGACTTTCAGAAGGCGCGAGCGGGTACGCGAGCGCGCGGGTACGGATATGGTGAGAAAAGAAATCCGAATGGAGGCATCGGCACAGTGTAAATGTAGAGAGTTTCTGGAGTTTCTGACTGGGTCCACCGATCAGATTTACGGTGGGAGATTTAGATGCGTTGGATCGTAGATCTAAGAGACAAGAAGTAAGGTGGGTAGAAAATTTTAGGGTGAAAAGGTATTTTCAATTTTTTCGCTCTTTTATAATATAGTATTGATATAGATAGATGAGAATTTTTTCTGTAAAATTAAACTGATTCCTGAAATTCTTGCATGATTCCTATGAAATCCCTACGTTCCAAACGGACCTTGAATGTTGTTTTCTGATTCATGTCAGATTAACCTAATTAATCTGCTCGTTTCTGGATTCGTACCATCTGTGTTGTTCACCGCATATAATAGCAAACATATCCATGCTTCAAGATGGAATTTTCATCTTGCGTCATTTGTTCTAAAAAGCTTTGGAACCAGATTCCATACCTTAGTTGAACGTACATTATTCTAACTCATATAAGCATGGGTCAATTAGAGCTCTAGTCTCTAGTTCATTATATATAGTTCACACCACATGTATTTTAACACATGAAAAGATAGTTAGGATTACAACACGTCTTTAAACTCTTACTTCAATATTCAAACATACACAACCGAAGTTCTAAAGTACGGTAGGTTTAAAATACATCTTGTCAGCCATGCCACACCCACGCAAGCTAACCCTTCATGGGCAAACTCTACTCCCACCCCGAAGAGGGCTCATGGATGTAGAAGCACTCGCATCCATTCACCTACAATAACAATTTAACGATAACACCTTAAATATAGGCTTGCACTGCACTCCACAAGGCTTAGCAAGGTGAACAAGGTGAAGCTGCTTAAAAACATTTGTTCATCAAGTAAATTGAGCCTAACACTACTTGTACACTCTATATAGGTTTGGCATGAACAATATATAAACTAGAGGTGTGAGCTTGATCTTTCATGAGTTCAACAACATGGCAACTTTACATTAAGGGCAACAATAGAGAGTTCACTCGTAACCAAAAGCGCATCATTTTGAAGTGGACAACACTTTCAACATGATAGCAAGGTTTTGTCGGTCCGTAAGAGGTAACTCGTTGTCTCAACCTTTCCCACATTTGGCTAAATCATCTAATGAATGGTCATAAAACACAAAAGTATTAGCATCTTGTTAGTAACACCTAACCACGAAACTCACCTATCAAATTACCTAGTCACAACATGATACTTAGCTTGCCATACCCATGTGTAGCATGTGGTAAGTATGAATATGTGCTCACATTGATGCAACAAGAGTCGATCCTTAGCTATCTCAGGCAAGTTATGCTATCCAAAATGCCGTCTCTCATCATGACCCAACCCATCGTCGAGTCTCATTCATCATGAAGTCACATTATCAAGTTTTTAGCTCCTTTTCCTCCTAGGTCCACTCTCATGTACATGACATCACAACAAATCAATTATCTTGGATATTGGAGAATGGCACTATACACATTCTATATAGAGGTACTCCCTCCGTCTTTTCTTCCTCCAACATATAATACTTGCCAATTAGCTTCCAAAGCATTCATGCATGCATACAAATATGGTATCCTTGATATGAAAAAACAATTCGCCTTATTGAGGGGTGGTATCCTTGATATGACAGTATGATGTGGTGCCTTATCATGAACTGCCGCTGAATCAGTTTATAAGGCCATTCATGGTAAAGTGTTTCACTGCGTTGTTTCCAAGAACGTAGAATGCAATGAAACATGAATGAATCACCACTCTCATCAATGCATAGTTTCACTTTTTTTGTTTCATAGACATTTAATTCTATGACCCATATTGAGTTGGTAACCGAGCCAAGAGAGTTTCATCCCATAAACTCACTTCTTCTCTCTCTTCTTAAAAATGTTGCCTCATCATCAAAACACTTACGTGGCGGCCTATAAAATGCAATGAAACTCTCACTAAGACTGCCCTAAGGGCACTCCTAACCTAGAAACTAGGATGATTTCTATTATTATTAATTAGGGTGCCAATTTGGAGAGAGAAGACATATGATTGGATAAAAATGATTTTGAAGAAACTACCCATTAGAAATATAGTTTCAATGTGTAGTGTCTACATGATTTGACATACATAGAAACTAGTTGTGGTTTCTAGCATATTGAGACTGGCCTAAGATGTTTGACATGTCAGTCTCCAAGTTATATTTTGATCATTTATTTATTTTATATTTTATTGTTTATATAACATTATGATTATTGGATAGTACATTTGATTACAAATTGAACCCTATCAAGTTTGCATTATAATAGTTTGAGTTGTTTGCCAAATTATTATTCAAAAAATAGTTTGAGTTTTTTGCCAAATTATTATTCAAAAATTATAACAAATGGCTTAGCGAGAAATGAATCTTGCTATATTTCAGGTGTCCGAGTTTTGAGGCAACAATCTTACACAACCAACTAGCAGTATAATTATAAAGACAACTTACAAGAGATAATTCAATTTTTTTTCTATAGCTAAACAATGACAAAATTATATAGTCTGAACAACAACAAAAACGGACACTTGAAATATAGGATAAGTGATAATTTATTCATAGTTTATTTTCCGTGGTACATAAATAAATAAAGTTCAATGAGACCATTTGCATCACAACTCACAACAACAAACGTGTAAACTAACACTCTTAAACCACAGCAAGGGGCAACAAATCGGTGGTCAGCAGCCTGCCTAAGCAGGAACCATCTTGATCGCCGGCTCAGCCGTCGGGTTGGGGCCATTCTTCACAGGGTACGACGCGTCCATGGCGATGCCACACTTGCCCATGGGCAGAAGCACGTTGCGCGCCATGCGGATGTAGCCGCCCTCCCCCCACTCGGGTCCCCACGAGTTCTTCACGATCCAGAAGTCCTCGCCGTTCTCGCTGCCGTAGCCCACCGCCGTCACGCCGTGGTCCAGCTTCAACCCGCAGATCCCGCTGAAGATGCTCTGTACGCACGCACGCAAGATTGGGAAGAACCGAGTTCAGAAATCAGAACAAGGAACAGCTTCATTCTCCGCCTTCACCCCAACAACTTACCGAGCTGTAGAGCTGGAACGCAAGACCGCCAGCATCAATGGCGACGCTAACAGGCTGGTTTGCCACCGCCTTCTGCAGCGCCTTCTCGTTGTTGGCCGGCACATTCTCGTATGAATCTATGGACACAACCTTTCTCTTTTCCTGTGTTGGATAAAAGCAAGCCTGCTCCGTCACCACCAATGCATGCATGCATTGCAAGCCGCCTTATGCAGGATTAGTTTATAAGAGTGCTGACCCGGATGGCATCACAAGCCATGTCAGTTCCGATGAAGGGATAGTCGGCCTCGGTGTCAATGCTGCCGTTGTTGATGACGAACTGGAAAGCGTTGTCCATCTGCCCGCCGTTGCAGCCGCTGTCCTGGGTGTCGCAGTCAATCAGCTCCTGCTCCGACAGCGACACGAGGTCGCCTGTCGCGATCTTGTTGATCCCTTCCATGGCTGCCACCGCCGAGAACGCCCAGCACCCAGCCACCCACCTGCATGCATCTCTCAATGACCAGAGATCATCAGTAACGAGCATTCTACGTAAAGTATCACGCAGCATGGACCGGTGTACGACTACGAACCGCATTTCTGTTGGTTCTTGACCCCGGTGACAGCGCCACGCAGGCGCCAGTCGACGACGTCGGCGAGGTCGTCGTCGTCGTGCGGCAGGTAGCGGTTGCTCGCGACCCGGCGCTTATTAGTGGAGTTGCGGAAGCCGAGGGCGCGGGCGCGGAACTCCTCCAGGGTGAGGTCCGCGAAGGGGGTGAGGCCGAGGCGGAAGGTGTGCAGCCCCGCGTCCGCCTCCGCGTTGTGCGCGTCAATGTACCGCAGGTTGTCGCGGAACACCTCCAGGCGCAGGCGGTCGGAGCTGACGTCGCAGAGCGGCCGGCCGTGCTTCGACTTCCACGCCTCGTAGAGCCGCCGCAGCTCCTCGTCTGCCCGCTCCAGCGGCGCCGCCGCGGCGACGCACGCGGCGGCCAGTGCCACCGTCAGCGCGAGCAGCGCCGCGGCGGGTGCAGCGGAGCGTTGTGGTGGACTCATTGCGACCCCCAAACAAGCTCGTGAGATGACGGAAAGCGAAAGGAGAAGGCGGAAGAGTATCTCTGAATTGCTGGTGTGTCTGTCAGCGAACAGTGGCTCATCAATTTATACTACTTTGAAAAGCTCGATCGTCCGTTGATCTGTCTCAAACAGAGGGCTGCCGCCATGGCAGGGTGCTGATTTTGATTCAGCTCTGCGTGCCAAGAGATAGCTACGCAGATGCTTGTTTGTGACACGGTTTCTGATTCAGCTTCAAGTTAGTATCAAATGGCAAGAATGAAATGATGTTAAATTAGAAAGCTGTCGCTGAACAAAGCAGAAGATGCATGTCTTGTTCGTAGCAGCTTCTACGTTCTAATTTGCACTTCTATTACAAGTGTGGCAAAGTAGGATGATCCACACTTGTTTTTGTCATTTAGATTGATGGATGAATAATACATGGCATAGTGGATAGGGCGGCACGCCGGCACCAAGACCGTGTTAGCAGCCCATCTAAGGTAGATACTTCAGAAGAGGTGGCCTAGGGGCTTCAGACTGGAAAACGCAGTCGCCGGCCCAACGTGCGTCTGGCTGGCGCGGAATGGCTGTAGTTGTGCCTGCGAGCACCTTCGGGCGGAAGCCGTGTAAAAGAAACGCTATGAGCGAGGGAGAGGATTAGGATGAATCTTGTAACAGACTCTAAACTCTAAGCACTCCTCCTTCCCGCCTCTCCTTCTCGCCTGATTTCTGTGCTGTTCGTCTGATCCTTGCCCAAATTTCTTCTACTTCCTGCCTACCGCTGACAATTGGTATCAGAGCCACCGATTTTGGGTTTCCACATCGATCCGCTTTTACTCCATCGGTCGATTTGAGCAAGTGATCCGGTTGGCTCGATCTCGTTCTTAGCAGTGAGCTGCTGCTAGGGATTTGGTCGCCGTAATTCCCTTCTCCGCTTGAATCGACTTGTGGTTGCGGTAGATCTGGATCCTTCCCAACCTTTAGCCCACGATCACTTCACCCGACGACAGCACCGACTAGGAATCATGAATCCGGAGACCAAAATCATCCTCGAAGAGATCAACCGCCGATTCAACGAGCATGACCAGAAGTGGGATTCGCGTTTTGCGGATCAGGAAGCGTGCCTCTCTCGCCAGATCCGGGACTTCAAGCGGGCGCAGGAGGGGCGCATGGCGGCTCTGGAGAAGGTTACCGCGTCGCTCGATGAGTGGCGGCCGTAGATTGAAGGCCTCGTCGACGACATGAAGATTGACATCTCGAAGTCCAAGTTGGAGGTGTCGAAGATCTCTCGCAACTGGGAGCGGGTGATTCTAGAGCAACTGGCTTCCACATCGGGCGTCTTCGCCGCCGCTCCGTCAGCTGTTGAGCGTCCATTCGTCAACGCTCCAGCAAATCTGCCCAATGGGCACTACGTCGACAATCACCATCGGGAGAGTGGATTTGGGGTAGTTTCTACCTTGATTCATTCCCCGGTCAAGGGTATGCCACCATTCGCCACTCCTCCCTCTCCGAGATCTGTTTTCTAGTCTACTGACGATCATGGGGTTCGTAGTGGTACTACCAGGGTGGGGCATAATGGGTTCCAGCCACCCAAACTTCCTAAATTTGATTTTCCTAAGTTTGACGAATCCCAACCTAAATACTGGCTTAGTCAATGCAAGGATTACTTTGATCTCTATGGTACTGAACCTCACATGTGGGTTTGAGTCGCTAAAATGCATTTTACACACGCTGCTAAGCGTTGGTACCCTTCTGTTGAATCCCAGCTTCAGTCTGCTACTTGGCCTACTTTTTCTCGCTTGATCCTTGATCGTTTTGGCCAGGATGAGCATGAGCTTTTGCTTAGACAACTTTTCCAAATCCATCAAACTAATTCTGTTCAAGAGTACATAGACCAATTCATTGCTATCATCAATGATTTATCAGCTTATGGTGGTACCACAGACCCTCTTTACTATGCTATGAGATTTGTTGATGGTTTGAAAGATTATATAAGAGCTGCGGTGGCTTTGCATCGTCCCCAAAATTTGGATACTGCTTGCCTTCTTGCTAAATTGCAGGAGGAGGTTGCTGATCCAGCCAAGAAGCGAGACTTCCGCCGTGCGGAACATTCGGCGGGTCCCCGTCCGTACGCTCCGAGGGCGCTTCCACTACCTCCACCACCTCCCTGTCTTGCCCTTCCGGCCACCGAGGTGAAGCCGGTTGGGGACGTTGGGCGGGGGCCGACCTTGGATGAGCGCTGGTCCATTCTCCGCGCGCCCAGGCATGCTCAGGGCCTCTGTATGAGGTGTGGGGGCAAATGGAGTCGTGATCATCAATGCCCTGTTGTAGTCCAACTACATGTCGTGCAAGAGCTATTGGATGTTTTTCGTGAAGCCACTCCTATTGAAGCTGCGGATTCAGTTCAGGAAGCGGAACCAGAGCAGTTGTTTCTCTCTTTATTAGTGGCAGCAGTAACTGGAATGGTTCAACCACGCACTATGTGTTTTTGGGGGGCTCCTTGGTGATCAACATGTTAAAATTCTGCTTGATTCGGGTAGTTCACATACCTTTATCAACTCAGTTGTTGCTTCGGCATTTCCAACTCTGCACTAGTTATCTCCTCCCTTGCAAGTCCAGGTCGCTAATGGGCAGGTACTCACTTGTTCTTCACACATTCCTGATGCCAGTTGGTCTATCCAGGGTTGCTAGTTTTCTTCCGATTTGAAGGTTCTTCCACTGTCCTCTTATGACATAATCTTGGGTTTGGATTGGTTGGAAGCTCATAGTCCGATGGCAGTCTATTGGGGCCAGAAATGGATTCAGCTCCAACACCAGGGCACTGTTGTTCAGTTAGTGGGTATTCTGCCGGATCTGACAGCTGGAGCAGTTCTACAGTTATGTTCTCTTGATCATCAGTAGTTTTCTGATCCTCCTGTTTACCCTATCAAAGTTCAGCAACTGATACAAGATTATTCGGGTTGTTTGATCCGCCAACTCAGTTGCCTCCTTCTCGCCACTGTGATCATTCAATTCCCCTTGTTCCTGGTGCAGCGCCGTTCTCTTCTTGTCCTTACCGTTTCTCCCCAGCTATCAAGGATGAGGTGGAGAACAAGTCAAGGACATGTTGGCCTCAGGTATTATTCAAAAGTGTACCATCCCATTCTCTTCGGCTGTGATGTTGGTCAGAAAAATGGACAATACATGGCGGTTTTGTGTTGATTACCGGTAATTGAATGCTATCACAGCCAAAAGCAAATATCCAATACCCATAATTGATGAGCTTCTAGATGAGTTGGCTGGAGCTTCTTGGTTTTCTAAACTCGATTTGCGCTCGGGTTTCCACCAGATTCGGTTGAAGCCTGGTGAAGAGTTCAAAACCGCCTTCCAAACTCATTTTGGCTAGTTTGAGTTCAGAGTCATGTCGTTTGGCCTTACGGGCGCACCTGGAACATTTCAAGATGCTATGAATTCCACTCTGGCTCCTTTTCTTCGGAAATTTGTCTTGGTTTTCTTCGATGATATCTTGATCTTCAGTCCCTCCTATGAAGAACATCTCCACCTCCTACAGTTGGTTTTTCAGCAGCTTCAAGTTCATGACTGGAAGATCAAATTGAATAAATGTGAGTTCGCCAAGCAGAGTATTGCATATCTCGGCCATGTCATTACTCTAGCAGGGGTTACCACTGATCCTCAGAAGGTAGCGGCTATGGTCAATTGGCGTACTCCCCAATCAGTTAAGGATTTGCGCAGTTTCTTGGGCTTAGCGGGGTATTACAGAAAATTTATCCGCAATTTTGGTGTCATTGCAAAACCGTTGACTGAGCTGCTTAAAAAGAACACCTTGTTCAGCTGGACTACTGCACATGATCAGTCACTCCAAGCTCTCAAGCAAGCCCTGAGTTCTTCACCAGTTCTTGCTTTACCGGATTTCTCCAAGCCATTTAGCATTGAGACTGATGCTAGTGCTAGTGGTATTGGTGCTGTTCTTACTCAGGAGGGTCATCCCTTAGAGTTTCTCAGCAAGGCCTTGGGACCCCGTTCTCGTGGCCTCAGTACTTATGAGAAGGAATACATGGCAGTATTGATGGCCGTTCAGCAATGGCGTTCTTATCTTCAACATGCTAAATTCACCATTTTTACTGATCAGTAGAGCCTTGTCCAACTTACTGACCAGCGTTTGCATACATCATGGCAGCAGAAGCTCTTTTCTAAGCTCATTGGTCTTCAGTTTCGCATTGTATACAAGCCGGGTGCTGCAAACCATGTAGCTAATGCCTTGTCTCGCAAGAGTTTCCATGATTCATCATGTGCTGCTATTTCTGTGGTGCCCCTACCTGGATACAAGATGTGGTGTCAGGATATGTAGCTGATCCTATCTCATCCGAGATGATTGCCAAACTCACCATTGATTCTACAGCCGTGCTAGGATTTTCTCTACGAGACGGCGTTCTACATCAGGGACATCGTATTTGGATTGGGGACAACAAGGTCCTACAGCAGAGAATTCTCCATGCCATCCACGCCAGTGCTTTGGGGGTCACTCTAGATTTCTGACAACATATACTCGCTTGAAGCAGCTATTCCAGTGGCGTGGCATGAAATCCGCTACACGAGACTTCGTTCAAGCTTGTCTAACTTGCCAACAGGCTAAGCCTGATCGAAGTCGGTTACCTGGTCTTCTTCAACCTCTGCCAGTACCTGTGGCTGCTTGGCACACTATATCTCTAGATTTCATTGAGGGGCTACCCCGCTCTGGTAATGTTAACTGTATTCTCGTTGTGGTAGATTCCTTCAGCAAGTATGGCCATTTCCTGCCCTTGTTCCATCCGTTTACAGCTGTTGTGGTGGCTAAGTTATTTCTCAACAATGTCTATCGTTTGCATGATCTGCCAACTGCCATTGTCTCTGATCGAGATCGTATTTTTACCAGTCAATTTTGGTGTGAGCTATTTCGTTTGGCCGATGTCTCCTTGTAGATGAGTTCCAGTTACCACCCATAGTCTGATGGTCAGACCGAACACCTCAATCAAACAATGGAGACCTTCTTACGCTGCTTTGTCGATGCATGCCTGGCCAAATGGTCTTCTTGGATTGCTTTGGCGGAGTTCTGGTACAATACTTCCCCTCACTCTGCCATTGGTTGTTCTCCTTTTGAAGCTCTTTATGGCTACCCACCTCGCCATTTTGGAATTTCTGTCCTGGATGATGTGGTTGTCCCTGAACTGTCTTCTTGGCTTCAAGATCGTCAAGTCATGACTGATTTGATCCGTCAGCACTTAGCCTGAGCCAAACACCGTATGAAACGTCAAGCTGACAAGAAGCGATCTAAACGTCAATTCAGTGTGGGTGATATGGTGTTTGTTAAGCTGCAACCTTATGTTCAGTCTTCGCTGGCCCCTCGATCTAATCAGAAGTTGTCCTTCAAGTTCTATGGTCCATTCCAAATCATGGAGCGCATTGGTCAGGTGGCTTATAAGTTGCTTTTGCCCAGTTCAACTGCTATCCATCCCGTGTTTCATGTCTCCCAATTGAAAGCGGCGGTTCTTCCTCAGGTCCAGGTATCTCGATCTTTACCAACTGACATTGAGTTGCCTCAGGTTCTTATGGAAGTTTTGCAGCGTCGGATCATGCCTACTGCTAATGGTTCGGTGGAGCAAGGCCTCATTCTCTGGTCTGGCTGGCCGTCGGAAATGGCAACCTGGGAGAATTTGCTGCAGCTGCGTCAAGATTTTCCCAGAGCTCCTGCTTGGGGACAAGCAGGTTTCCAAGGACCGGGGGGTGTTAGCGGCCCATCTAAGGCAGATACTTCATAAGAGACGGCCTAGGGGCTTTGGACTGGAAAACGCAGTCTCCGGTCCAACGTGCGTCTGGCTGGCGCGGAATGGCTATAGTTGTGCCTGCGAGCACCTTCGGGCAGAAGCCGTGTAAAAGAAACGCTATGAGCGAGGGAGAGGATTAGGATGAATCTTGTAACATACTCTAAACTCTAAGCACTCCTCCTTCCTGCCTCTCCTTCTCGCCTGATTTCTGTGTTGTTCGTCTGATCCTTGCCCAAATTGCTTCTACTTCCTGCCTACTGCTGACAGACCGGTGCTCGGATTTGGACGATCCCTAGGCAGGACCATGGCCGTGTGTAGGATTAGAGAACGCAGCCAGTCGTTTATATTGTGTTTGGTCTGTGAAGTCATCTCATGCTTCAGGTGATGTATCATGAGTTCATCCAATGAATTTTGGTAGAGTCAATCCATCCCTCGTGCATATACTAATTATTAGCTTGTGAGGAATGAGGTGGTGATGGATCAACTCATTCCATTCCACAAACCAAATAGGAAAAGTGAGGAGTGAGAAGAAGATGGATCACCTCATTCCTCAAACCAAATACACCTTAGCGAACATAATGGGCTCGAACAAACCCTATTATTTTACTTTACTCCAAGTTGAGCCAATATTGACCCCTAAAATGTGTTGTCACACTGACACCACTATGTCATGTGCACAAAGACCCTCACCATTTTTTTCCGGCCAGGCCGAAAAAAGCCAAGGGCAAAAAAATCAAATCTAACAACCTCTCAGGGACCGGCTTCTTGGGGCCAGAGATCACCTGGTCTTTATAAGAAGAAACTTCGAATGCCTAATTATGTCATCTGGACTTTAAATTAAACATTCAAAATATGTATTTTTGATTGTCTTAGCGAGGGCTACATAACGGTGAATCTCATTCTATCGTTGGAAGTCATTTTTGAAGCCAAGGACTCGGTTTGGAAAACCGGATGGCCCTATTTTCCTAAATAGCCCACGAAGTATCGGTTTTGATCGCGACCAACATGCTTTCTGAACTCTGATTCTATAATCACCAATATATTATCACATGACATCCGAGGCAGTGCCTACTCTTTTGTTGCAATTCCCCAGCTTCCATTGCACCAAACGGGACATTCATGTTTGTCCTCGTGGTTGTAAAGTATATTCTAGGGTTTAAGTTTATGTCGCCGATCCTTAAATCGGGGGGGAATCTACTAGTGTTTTCAACAGTCATCTTCATAATATCTTTTCACTATTTATAGTGTGTCGCCCCACCAAATTGTTGACTCACCTACAAATTTGGATTCACCATCTTGCTTTTGACCTCTCTAGTACTTCCACCTCAAGATAATGACACACGACATGACCAAGACTGCTCCTCAACACGGTTATGTCCTTTATGCACATCTGAGTTCCCATATAACTATAGTTATCATGGAAAATCATGACAAGTAGCAAGAATCCACACCAACGAGTCGCCACATCACCGAGAACCTACAATAACAGTCACATCATGCTCATTGGGGTTGCTGCCTATTTAGATGTAACTCTACCCATTGAAGAACTGAATGACCTAAGAGGGGTTGGAATTAGGCACTAGAAAGGCATAAATTAAAGTCAAGACCTTCAAATAATGTTACACATTTGCTACTCACTCACACTAGCAATTTCATAATCTTCAATCTAAATGATCAAAATACTCTCATATGGCAACTCAACTCCCAAGATGTGTCTATCCAAGACATGGATCAAAGAGCTCTAGAATGAGCCATGGAACACAAATATATGTACATAGTCCACCAATGAGAGCCACATAACACAACAAACACAACGATTCACGTGGAAAACCTCCTCAAGTGGAGGAGTAAAACCACTGACCAACCAGTCCACTACAAGCTCCTACTATAATCAATAAATGGGTACAGCGAGTATTCTCTAGAGCATCTAGAGGATTATACAACAAATGCAATATATTCATCAAGTTGCAAACATGGCATCAACTACAACCACAACCAACTAACAAGGGGATTGAGAACAAGCAAACATAAAAGTTACATATTTATGTCCCCCTTGGTAGTGAGTTCATATCTCAGAAAATACAATTCCAGTGTGCATGAATTTTGGTAGGCATGTAGATCCATGAGTTCCCTAACCACTGACCAATTTCAGCTCAATACATAGTTTCATGACCCAAATCAATCATCTACTAAAATTGTAGTGCCAGAACTGACAAAAACCCTCTCAAATCAAATGCTCTACTCAATCAGTCCTCAAATCAACAGAATTGATCAAAGTACTCTAAGTGTACAACAAGCTCACCAAATTTTGTGCCAATTCAATCACATTTGAACCTCCAATCACAAGCTTGAAGATGATCGGTTCAGAGCCACCAAATGTGGACATGTTTTCTTTTCCGCCTCGTTCCTCTCTTCACACATTCTCTCTCTCTCTCTCTCTCAATAGGAAGAAATAAGGCAAAGAGGAGGCTAGGTTTTCTCTTCTCTCCTTTCACCGTTGATTCCAACCAAAATCAATGGCTTAAAAGAGTTGGGTTCATGAGCTACAAATGGGCTGCTTTGCTGGGCTCGAAATTATCCAGGGACAGCCCACACATATCTATCATAAATAAAGCATCGAACCACGTCAACAAGTGGGAGCAACTTCTACTCAAGTTCTTGTTATGTAAAGAAAACTAACAAATGTCTTACATTGTGACAAATACTCCCATAATTTCACACAGGAAAGTTTATTTTGTTACATAATAATTAACTTTTATTCATAACTTATTTATCGTGGTACAAATAAATAAATAAAATTCAATAATGAGACCATTTGCATCTGAACTCAATACAACAGACGCTTATAAACACTAAACAGAGACTCTTAGACACCACAGCAAGGGGCAAGCGGTCAGCGGCCAGCCTAAAGCGAGAACCATCTTGAAGTTTTTGATCCCTGGCTCAGCCGTCGGCAGTCAGCTACTAGCGGCCGTTCTTGACGGGGTAGGACGCGTACATGGCGATGCCACACTTGCCCATGGGCAAAAGCACGTTGCGCTTCATGCGGATGTAGCCGGCCTCGCCCCACTCGGGACCCCACGAGTTCTTCACGATCCAGAAGTCCTCGCCGTCCTCGCTGCCGTAGCCCACCGCCGTGACGCCGTGGTCCAGTATGTACCCGCATGGCCCGTTGAAGATGCCCTGCACACATGATTGAGATTGACCGATGGTGAAGAACAGTTCAGAACAAAGAACAGCTCCTGCTCCTATCCTCCCAAAATGCATGCTTACCGAGCTGTAGTGTTGGAATGCAGGACCGTTCGCGTCAATGGCGACACTGACCGGCTGGTTCGCCACCGCCTTCTGCAGCGCCTTCTCATCGTTGGTCGGCACGTTCTCGTATGAATCTATGGACACAACCTTTCTCTTCTCCTGCATTTGAGCAAAATGCAAACTTTCCATCACTGCCAATGCACCGCAGGCGCAGAGGCTTATATATGAGACTTGTGAGAAGTTGTACCGACCCTGATGGCATCGCAAGTCCCATTAGTTCCGATGAAGGGATAGTCGGCCTCGGTGTCAATGCCGCCGTTGTCGATCACGAACTGGAAAGCCTTCTGCATCTCTCCACCGTGGCAGCCGTAGTCCTCACTGTCACAGTCAATCAGCTCCTGCTCCGACAACGATATGAGGTTGTTCGTCACGATCTTGTTGATCCCCTCCATTGCTGCCACCGCCGAGAACGCCCAGCACCCACCTGCATCATCCCTCACGACCGGCCCAGAGATCATCATCAGTGCAAATCCTTGTACTAACCCGGCGAAGTAATTAACGAGCATGGAGATTGATCAGTACGAACCGCAGTCCAGCTGGTTCTTGACCCCGGTTACGGCGCCCTGCTGGCGCCAGTCGACGGCGTCGGGGAGGTCATCGCCGGCTTGGGGCAGGTAGCGGTCGCTCGCGACGCGGGGAAGAGTGGAGTTGAGGAAGCCGAAGGCTCGGGCTCGGAACTCCTCCAGGGTGAGGTCGGTGAAGGGGGTGAGGCCGAGGCGGAAGGTGTGCAGCCCCGCGTCCGCCTCCGCGTTGTGCCTGTCGATGTACCGCAGGTTGTCGCGGAACACCTCCAGCCTGTCGGAGCTGCCGTCGCGTGGCCGGTTGTGCTCCGACTTCCACGCCTCGTAGAGCCGCCGCACCTCCTCGTCCGCCCGCTCCAGCGGCGCCGCCGAGCTCAAGTCGCGCGCCGCGGCGACGGTCGTCGCGGCGGCTAGTGCCACCGTGAGCGCGAGCAGCGCCAGCGCCGCGGCGGCAACCGGGGAGCGTGGTGGACTCATGGGGATCCCCTGATGCAATGGTTTGGATTGACCCCTCAAGCCTCAAGCTCGATCGATCGGAGCAGCAAGAGATGACGAGAAGCGGAAGGAGAAGGTGATCGACGACGATCGAAAAGTACAATTTGTGAACTGCTGGTGTGTCTCAGTGTCTGCCCTGCCCACGCAGTGGCTCATCAAATTTATAGCCACCGGAGGCAACGAACTGGGCGCCACCGGACCCACGGCCAACCCCACCACCACGCAACCTAAAAAGCTCGTGCCCTGATGATGCCTGTCTGTCTCGGTTCTCAAACAGAGGGCTGTCACCTTGTTGACGTGTGTTGGTTTGGATTCAACTCTGTCTGTCAAGTGTCAAGAGAGCGATCGAGAACTACGACGATCCTTGCTATGACACGGTCTCTGATTTAGCTGCTTGAAGCAGTTTCAAATGGCAGGAATAATAATCCACTTCAACATATGGAAGGGAGTTGAACAAAGCATAAGATCGATGACTTGTTCGCAGCAGCTTCTACGTTAAGAGTAGGATGAGTTGTAAAGTTGGAATTAAAAAATTTCAAGCCAAAATGTGAGGCTGTCTTACAGGTCAACATACATCTTATCTTATATTAGACGTGAGGTTCGAAAAAATTAAGTTGGTGACATATCATCCTATTATTCAATTAGAACCACCAAACAGGTTCTAGAATAGAGAGAGTGAATCAGATTATCCCAATCGGCACAACAATCAGTCGTGACGGTCAAAAGAAAATCATATATACTCGCCCGGTCGCCCCGTCAACATCCCCAAGAGTGTTCGGAATTGGACGAGCGAGCCCTCGGCAAGGATCGGGTTAGGCCACGCAGCCGGTGGTATCGCGAGCATGACGGAGTGGAATGGAACAAACCCCGTTTGCTTTTATTTCTCCAAATCCGAAGTTGAGCACGCGTTTTGATTTCATATATAATATAATGGGGAATTTCCTGACGGATTAAAATTAAAAAGATCGCCTGATCATGTTCTCTCAGGGGAAAAGTTCAGTCGATTCGGGTGTTCGTGCCCATCGCCCAACTAGGCTTTTCGCGGTGTTCTCCATCGACACTCACTTCCGGCGTTTGGGCCTAATGTCTTGGAGATCCAAACTGCAGGTGTGAAAAGATAAAAATGCCCTTAAATGTAAATATGTTATTTTTTTTTTAGCATCTTAATGACTTCAAATGAAAAAATTCAAAACTAGAAAGTTGTAGATCTCGTCGAGATCTATAATTTTCATATAAAAATTATTTTTATTTAATTTCGCAAAAAAAATGATTTTTCTAAGATATATTAATCATATCAAATCATTTTTTTTTAGTTCCCGGTTGGTCCAACGAACGCCCCGGTTGGTCAGGCCAACGAACATATTTAGTTGTGCATAAGAAAGAAAAGGAAAGCTAAATGGGTAAAAGAATTAATCAAGAGAGAGACATGATTAAACAGCTAACTGCAATGATGGATAAGTCTCATGTGTGATCTTTGCTGTATTGCAACGAACGCCCCCAGCAGCGTGCAACTGATTTGTCGCGAGCTGTGTGCGCGCGCCTGACGGAGGGTACGGTGGCTGGGTGGGTGTTACACCACCATGCACGCGAGTTGAGCAGCCACGATGCATGAGGCGCGCGATTCCGCAGTTCCGCGCAGGGAGCGGTCCGGTCCGGCCGTCCGGGTGTCGCGCGTGCCCTTTGTTGTTGCGTGCAACTGCTGCTTTTCTGATCTGGGTGCACACGTGGACGCGGCGCGGGGGCTCATGGCGTTTGGGCCGTGGCGCGAGGCTGGCTGGCAGTTCGCCTTCGCGGAAGTGATCGCGTTGCATCACGCGGTGCGGGTGGCCGCTCCGCTTCCAGGACAGACAGTCCCGTTCGACACTCGACGGGTAGTCGCCGCGGCTGCACCAGCACAACCGGTCTGCCCCTCGCTGATGCGGCGTCTTCCGATTGCCCCGATCGTAAGATCCAACACTCCGAGCAATCAATCGCCAAAGCCAAATGCTTAAGCAACTGTCTATGGGAGATGCAGCAGCATGCTGCACCCAACAGCAAGCAAGGACCTCAGAAAACGATTGGTTTGCTCCAGCCTACAGGTATTATACTCCAAGTCTACAAGACTCCAACAGTTCAACTCCAACCACGGCCATTTCTCAATCAGGCAATCAAGGCGGCTTTGGCTCAATACGTGACGTGACGTGACGACCTCTCTACGGATTGGAATTGGTGGAGAAAATAACCAACGGATTTGGTTTAGCATCCCTGCTTGTCTCAATACACATGGATGCTCGAGAATGCACGTATGCGCACCCAGCCATCAGCCCATGCTCGAGAATGCAAGTGTTGAGTCCTTTCTTCACAACCATAGACATACTTCCAGAATTCAGCCACCATTTTTCAGTTTCCAATGCAGCGTACATTACAACACAACAGATAAGCTACATTAAAAATGTGCACCCTACAGATAACATACCCAAGCGTGGACCATCGCCACAAGAGCAAAAACATCAGAAAAAAAATTAAACACAGCCACCGCCAGATTAACTGGATACGCTTCCAACTGTGTTTTTTGCAGGGTGTAAGAGATATACATTACAATGCCAGTACGTTCTCCCTTCAGTTATCTTGCCCTTGGGGGTCACCCTTCCGTTTCGTGGTGCCTCGGGGCCGAGACGATTTGTTGGCTCTTGACAGCCGCCTATCCTCCTGCTCTTGCTTGTCATCCAACAACTCGGATGGAAGCTCGGTGGTGGTTTCAGGCCATGGAGTGCGCTTTGCAGGGACGACGACTTCCAAAGGTGGCTCAATTACCCACCTGCAAAAGAACATATTTAGTTGTGCATAAGAAAGAAAAGGAAAGCTAAATGGGTAAAAGAATTAATCAAGAGAGAGACATGATTAAACAGCTAACTGCACTCTAAAGGGAATCCAATGTTTTCACTCTTTGTTGGTTTCAATAAAACTAATGTTTTCCTAAGTGAACCCAAGTTTTCACTCTTCCTTGGTTTCAAAGACTCCAACCAAAGACTCAGGAACAAGGTACGTATCACATATGGTTACCAAAGACACTCTTGTCACGAGAACCCAGTTTTTTCATTTCTTTTTTAGAGTGATGAGGACCTGGTCTTCAACCATGAGATCGGCCTAGATGCTAGATTTCATGCCAAACAAAACACAAAAAAAAAACTGTCTAATGTTAATAATGATACATTGGAATCTCTCTCGTGCCTTAGCCATGTGGCACCATGTCAATGGAAGAGGCAAATTGCTACGGTAGCATGTAATCTTACACTCTAGTAGGCATCAAATAAGCATTGATTTGATTGTCTAAAATTTTCAAGAACCCAGTTTTTTTCGAGCACTTACAAACATCAAATTTACAGGTTCAGCAGCTTAAAATCAACAACAAAACCTTTTAGTAGAGGTGCAAATGGAAAATATGGGCGGCTACTGACCTACTGTATTTCTTGAATTTAGATTCAAATAGTGTCAGTTGTGTCGGATAAGCTATGAATGGATATCAACATCATATATATCCGATTTGGAGTATTCGGATACAGACGGATCTGAACTCTAAACGAATTCGAACCCAGATACAAACGGAAAATATCCGTAATATTTGCACCGCTACCTTTTAGTGCCAAAGCTAGTTGGGAGAGGCTACATGCCTAAATCAGTTTACAACAAGAAAGCAATAAAAGGAGACTTGAAAATGGAATATACCCAAAGACTTAGTAATAGGAATGCTTGGCAAAGAAAGCATATTTAAGCTGCATATCAAAATTAAATCCCTTATACAAAGTAAAATTAAACATGATGTCTTCAGTAGCACAAAGCAATTTTCATACTTCATAGATCATGAATATGAGATTTGTCCCAAGTCAAACTTTATACAAAAAACTTTGACAGGTAATATCTATAAAAAAATTATATCAAATGAAAAGAGTTATATGTTGTAAAAGTAATTTTACATAATGAATCTACTTTTGTTGTCAACATACATACAATTTTAGTTATTGATTGTCAAAGTTGAAAAATTTTAACATAGGATGTGTTTGGTTTGGGGACCAAGTGGGTTGGGTTGGGTCCAACCCAGTTTTTTGGATTGGGTTCAACCCATCTCGCGTTTGGTTAGTGGGATGAGGTTGTCCCAGATTTTGTGTTTGGTTTGAAGATAAACTGATGTGGGTTGAGGATCCTGACAAATGGACCCCACACGTCATCCTCTTTCTCTTCCCTTTCCCTGCCTTTCTTCTCCCCTGCGTGGCTCGCTCGCTCACCGCCGCCCCCGCGGCCGCCGGTCCCTTGTGCGGCTCGGTCCCCTGCGCAGCAGTCTCCTCCGCGCTGGCGGCCTCCTCTGTGCTGGCGGTCTCCTCCGCGCTCGGTGCTCTCCTCCGTGCTTGGCGCATCTCCTCCGTCGGCGCCTTTCTTCTCCCCTGCATGAGCTCGCCGGAGATGCGAGCGCTCGATGTGGGTCGAACCCCGTCCGCTCGATTTTGCGGTGCCGGGGCAACCCGCATCTATGGGGAATATGCCCTCCTGGGTTCGACCCAGGTTCCAGGATCTCCCATCCAAACACCCAGAAAACTGGGTCCAACCCACTCCGACCCAGTTGGTCCCTCCATCCAAACACATGCTTAGTACAGACATAGATGGGCTTATATTTACAAACAAAGCTTCAGAGGAAGTAGATTATAGAGTTTTCAATCAGTGTTTGCTGGTATTATCACATCCTAGACAAGTATGGAAACTCTATGACCAGACCAGACTGGCTTAGTGACAGGACAACATAAACTATTTTTCTTGAGGTATTAAGGGACTACTGTAAAGCAGTTGTTGGTGACATACTTATCTCAGTGCAATCAGTCAATCAGTCAATCACATTCAACACGATAAAATCCATATAAAGATTCATATGTAACAAAGGGCCTGTTTGGCAGGACATGTGGAGCTAAAGGTTTGGTGTGCACCGGGAGTGTTGGGGTGTCTCATTTTATTTA